GTTCCATTTTGTACTTTTTAAGATGGTGAAAAGGGTCGATTCATGACAAGACATTAGATTATTATTAAGAGGCCTCCTATTGATTTTGAAGATATCATTTTTTTATTTATTTCTATTATTAATTCTTCCTAACCTTTTTCTCCTACTTCCAACTAGATTTCAACTATCTACTATATACTCTTACCAGGACCTGGTCCGAACTTGGCGAAAAAAGGAATTTTTATCTAGATCAGGGTCAAAATCTAGGTCAAATCTAAGTTTTTTCAAGTTTCTCGAATCCTGACACATTTCAATATTTTTGCCTGGATTTTTGCATATTGACAGATATTTGTATTCTTTCAGTGTCAGCTTTTTGCCATCTTGACACAATTTGCCTAAAATTTGAGAAATTGAAGGTCAATTTTCATTTTTTTAATTATCTACAAGTTCTAACAAGTTCAAATCTGGCCTTAGTTTTAACCGGTGACCTTTTGTAGACCTTAAATGACCTTCGAAACGTCAAAAAATTGATTTCTAAAATTGATTTTCTGGATCCTAATTTAGGTAAAATAGTTTACAAAATACCCATTGAGGTCTAAAAAGTAAAAGGACCATATACACTCTCCATTGGGATCTCCCCATGAGAAAAAATATTTCATCTGAGTTTCAAAATGAGTATTCTGCTTTAATTATTACATTTATATGCACACTAGTATCTTGTTGACCTATATTCAGCGCTGTATTGATGTATAGGCCGATTGTTAGGGTCACAATTCAATCATGAAGTGTAGAGGCATAGATTCCAAACTAGGACGTATTTTTGTGTCTGTCAAAATCCATTTGCATCCTATGCATCCCTACATCTTATCCAAATATGTTACTTCACTTCAATGAAATGTAATGGTATATTCTTTGGTATTACAAAGTTGTATGATTTTTGATAAGTGTAAAAGTTGTTTTTGGAGCATTTTTCTATAGCCATTTTGTAGGGAAAAAATGATAAAAATGGACAATCTTTCAATTTTAAGTATGACCTGAATCGATTGCAAACTTCATATTTGCACATAAACCATTTGTGTCATATTGTGAAATTATTAAGTTTGCAATCGATTCAGGTCATAGTGTATTTTTGGTATTTTTGTGATAATTAATGGAAACCAATGGCCTCTATTGGAATCTGCTGATATCCTCATGTTAAGTCAATGATGCACAGCCCCATGTAAGTCAATACAACCTTACTGAACTAAATGGCCCATATCTCAGCCAATGTGTGCCAAAGCACTTTAATACTTTTCATAGAATTTTACGACATTATATTCTTCATGCTACATCTAAGAATGATTCATTTTGACCATAGGGGTATTTGCCAAAATACGCACCTCTTCCTTTGCTTAGCAAGGTCAAAGGTTAAGGTCATCAAATTCAATCCCAAACTGTGTTTTCCAAGTTTCTCAAAATTTGAGACTTCATATCAATAATTTTGATTGAAAGTAAAAATACATATGTGTCTCTAAAGGTTTTACACATATTAACAATTGACTACATATTCAAATTCTGCACCAGTTTTGAGATATTAGAGCTCAAAAACTGAAAAAGGTCAAATTTCGAAATTTTTCAAGGTCAAATTTTAAATTGCTTTTAAAATTATATACGAGTTCTCAGAAATTCAAATTTGGCCTTAGTTTTCTGACCTTTATTCTTTGGTTGAACTTCGAAAGGTAAAACAATTGATTTTTAAATTGATTTTCTTGATTCAAACTTAGACATTTTTAATCACCAAAGACCTACTGAAGTCTAAAAAAGTAAAATTTGCAAGGTCAAAGGTAAATGTCATCAAACTAAATCACGAACTGGGTTTTCTAAGTTTCTCAAAGTTGGTGACTACAAATAAATATTTTTGAAGGAAAGTCAGGATATATGAGGGGTGATCCCAAAATCTTGGACGCACTGCTCTAATTTTGTTGGCTTTAAATAAAATTACTTAAACTTTCCAATAATTAGGACCAACATCCTAACTACTTTGTGCGAATTGATATATTTTATGTAGTTTTCTGGATAGTTTATATTCGCACATGGCAACTTTCAGCCTTAAATGTGTGCACCATATGACTTGTTTCGCAACTTTTAACCACTATCTTTCTTTTAATTAAGAAATATGGACCGAAGAGCAGGGCAACTAGTTTCGAATACACCCTGCAGGTCTTTGCACAAAACGTTTTCTGTACCCCGGACGACCGAAGGGAGTGAGGGGTTCGTAAGCTTTTGTGCCTAGACCTAAGGGGTGTATTCGAAACTAGTAGCCCTGCTCTGGGGTCTATATTACGATTCGAACATGAAAAGTCACCAGAATATTGCGAAATCGTCAATTTCGATGTCATTTCCACTTTTTTCATTTCTACTTTCGGTTGAGCGTTTGGCTGTTCCGATTTGTTTACTTACTTCCTGACCCCGACTTTTTTATTGACATTTCGGCCTATTTTATTGGTTTCACGCATATCTACTACATTGAAAATTATTGAAATTGATTCTATACAGCCCGGAAGAAAATCACAGCGGATATCTATATAAAAATTAAATTTTGCGAAAAGAACGGACCATTGAGTGCACTGAACGAAACACTAGTGCAGAGCTGGGGCAAAGATCTCAAATATAACCTAGCTGACGCATTGACTTTGTTCACAGTTTATAGAAGGCGTGAATACAGTCATTTTGAATATTTAACCATGTTAGTTTACTTCCTTAGTTACCAGGCAACCATTTAACTGTGTTTTAATTACAATGTCACACGTGACAATGCCCATATATGTCAAATTCTAAGAAAATGACATCAGAAAAGAAACCATAATTCTGGTATTATGGTATGAGTACCGTAATCCAACACCAAATTCGAAAATTCATAACAATACTTTGCACATATGGCGTTCGTGACCAACTATAAAACGCTTACCCCCCATAGTGTTATATATCAAAATGTACCTGTTCATATAGGGGTTCGATTGATCTACATCAAATTGTAGGGAGTCAGGTTACTTTTTGAGATATCAGCGTCCATTTATTGTGACTCGCGTTTGCTACCACTTCCTCAATTCTGATATGATGGGCAAACGCGTAATAAACGTGCTCACGTCGGAACTATTTTTGACCTACATCGCTATTTTCGTAATTCAAATGAAAGTTGAACTCCTTCTCTTTATTTTGATACCAAATAGTGGCATACTAGGTACCTTTGAAGCCAACTATGGCGTTATTTAGAACAATACCACGAGTTTTTAAATGGACTATATAGGGGTCATACCTTTTGGCGGATGGATATGGAACCTCATACCTTAATGTGTTATGACATCACACTGATTTTTGTCTCTGCAACTTTTTTTGGCAGAAAATATCATTTCTAGTTCAAAAATGCATAAAAACGTCGGAAATGGCTGAATATGTGAAAAATTTATCCATTTAGGCTAGAAAGGGTTAATTTGCCCTACCCCAAATACGTCTAAATATGCTAGTCTAACTTTGCCATTGTGACGTCACAAATCTAACCTGACTATCTCTGAGTTTATTGAAGAAAATGATACGTCTGACAAACAGCTTTCATTCCCTATATGGCACACCTTCTACTAAGAGTTGCATCATTGACTAAATCTAAGACAAAGGCCCTGTGTCCCGAGGATTTTGACTGAAATTTGGCCATTTTCGCCCAAATCTAACTAAATTGCAGTTTCCCTCACACCTGTATTTTGAAATAAATATTGCTACAATGTAGCAATTTAAAAATCACACATGCTTACTGTTTCTGTCGACCTGACACGTGTATCTAGCCTGTAAGAATGAAAAATCGCTACATTGTAGCAATTTCACTGAGATATGGGCCCTGAAAATCATGTAATTTTAGCAAAAATGAAGATATAACCTGCAATTTTGACGGAATTTCAGAGGGCTTTCTTTCATTCCAGACCCACAACGGGCCTCTTATGACCATTCTTATACTCACAGAATGGTTGAAAGTGATTTCAAATCATTGTTTGCCCTACGCAGAACTAAAAAATCGATTCTGTTCTCAAATTCTGCTAGAATATTGGTCTCTGGCCAACTAGCAGACAATTTTAGGCCTCATATTAAGGTATGAGTACCGTAATCCAACACCAAATTCGAAAATTCATAACAATACTTTGCACATATGGCGTTCGTGACCAACTATAAAACGCTTACCCCCCATAGTGTTATATATCAAAATGTACCTGTTCATATAGGGGTTCGATTGATCTACATCAAATTGTAGGGAGTCAGGTTACTTTTTGAGATATCAGCGTCCATTTATTGTGACTCGCGTTTGCTACCACTTCCTCAATTCTGATATGATGGGCAAACGCGTAATAAACGTGCTCACGTCGGAACTATTTTTGACCTACATCGCTATTTTCGTAATTCAAATGAAAGTTGAACTCCTTCTCTTTATTTTGATACCAAATAGTGGCATACTAGGTACCTTTGAAGCCAACTATGGCGTTATTTAGAACAATACCACGAGTTTTTAAATGGACTATATAGGGGTCATACCTTTTGGCGGATGGATATGGAACCTCATACCTTATTTTTTCTCCAAGATGGCTGCTGAAATGCAGAACATGAAAGAAATCAAAGTGAAACAAAGAATACTACAAGATATTCTCACTTTTATTGAACCTTGAGCAGCTCCCATCACTGCATCAAATTTGGAATTTCTAGTAATTTCTAGACGTGCTTAGTCGGTCTAGGAACTCCGTGTATCTAGAGATTTCTAGGCGTGCTTAGACGTGCTTAGAGCTGGCGTGGACAGAGCGTGACTAGTCTAGAAATCTCTAAGCACGCCGTGGTTAGACACAAGACAAAATTAGTCGTTATTAAATTGCCATGTGAGATTTTGCGCTATATATGGAAACATTTAAATTATCATTTACCGCACGTGTTAATATTTCATGTTTTGCTTTAGCTAAATCAGAGACATGTTTTATATGTCTCTGGCTAAATATGGGATATCATCTATGCGATCTGCAGATAATGGAAAAGAAAAAAGTGTTGATTTTTGGACATTCGCTTGTTCACTGGCAAGGGAAATATTATTCTTCTAATTTGAAACTAAATTCAAATGAATTTATTATAAATTTCCGCGGAGTGCGCGGGGCTAATCTTTTCTGGAAGCCGTCTGACAATAAACGATTCCAAAAGAAATCAATGGCTAGATATCTCTGTGACGCGGTAAAAGATACAAAACCCCAAATCGTGTATCTGCAAGTGGGAGGCAATGACCTTGATAGATCGTTTGTTTCTGTGGAAGATGCAGTTGTCGCAACTCTAAGTTTAGCGGAATTCCTATTAGCCGGTTACGGAGTGGAAAAGGTCTGCATTGGACATGCTTTCCATCAGCGACTGAAATCAAAACTTCCCTCGTATAATATCAGGGCTAGGAAATACAATGCTCTTTTAACTAAAAAAGTGACTTTGTTGTCGAATATCAGTGCCATTTCAAATCGAGGATTTGCATTAGCCTCACAAGCTAATTACCGTAAAGATGGAATTCATTTATCAAACTTTGGAATTTCATTATGGGGAAGAAACCTCAGGCGAACAATAATATTTGTACGGGATACAATTTTATAAATACCACGAAGCGTAAGTGTTACAATTAATTCATTTATATTTGTTATGCAAACGCATCTGCTAATATCATTTCCATTTATCTGCAGATCCGTATACGATATATTATATGGGGTTCACGAAACCACATTTTGTTTATTGTTATTGTCATTGTACTTGGTCACGCATATTCTGAAAGACCAATACTCTACACTTAGATTGTCCAATTGATGCATTATATATTTATATATATATATATGAAGCCATTATTAAGCGGCTCTTGTCGCTCTTTATTTGCTATAATTGGGTGGACGAAAGTATTATTATACTCAGGACGCTTGTCCAAAAAATGGCGATTGCCAATAAAAACCTTGTGCATGTAAAATGTATTTTGCGGTTATTTTCGCATTGGTAATACTTTACGTACATGGGATATTCTGTCCATATCCAATTTGCATTCGGGTTTATTAACCCATATCATTTTAATTGGTGGACGCATATTAGTATATATCATACGCTGGATGCTTGTCCAAAAATTGACGATTGTCTGAAAAAATATGCGTCCAAAATGTACTTTTGCGGTTATTATCGCATTGGTAATCCTTTACCTACATGGGATGTTCTGCCGATATCCAATTTGCATTCGGGTTTATTAAACCATATCATTTTATTTGGTGGACGCATATTAGTATATATCATACGCTAGACGCTTGTCAAAAAATTGGGGATTACCGGAAAAAATATGCGTCAAAAATGTATTTTGCGGTTATTATCGCATTGGTAATACTTTAAATGGAATATTCTCTCCATACCCAGTCGGCACCTGGGTCTATTAACCCTCAATCTATAGTGTATTTTTCAATTGTAGGCATCTTGGTTTATCCGTTCTTAAAATGATTCTTAATAATCTGCTATTATTTGTTTTACATGTAATCATGGATGCCTCAATTAATTTGGCGCTTAAAACACCAATAATTTAATGTGTAATACATGCATTGCTCCTAATACTTTTATGTATCAATTACATCTAGCTAAGTTTTACTTCCAGTAAGATGCCACCCAAAAGGAAATCGTCCAATCCATCGCCACCAGCTAAACAACCCTGTTTATCAGAAGACGATAAAGAGGATATCGTGGCCCGCCTGCTTGCAGGGTTTAAAAAACAGCAGGAAGAGGAACTGGAACAAAACAACCCGGAGTGTGCACAAACAACAAACTCGGACGACGATTCTGAATCAGACAACGAAGTGTCATTTCATCCCAATCATGCTATTAGACGGGCAGCGAATACATTGCTAGGCGGTCCGGGTGAGTCCTCGTCAGGCCAAAATAAAAATTCAGTAGTCTGTGATCTGGATACACTGGCGGATCTGGGGGGGGGGCCCAGGGGCCCGGGCCCCCCCCCCTCGGGTGTGCCCAGAAAAAAAAAATTGGGCCCAAAAAAAATTTTGAGCCAAAAAAGGCCTTGGGGCTCCAAAAAGTGGGCCTTTTTGGTCATAAATGGGCCTTATAAGGCCTTATTTTTTAATTCTAGGCCAAATTTTGGAGAAAATGGGCCTCAAAATTTCAAAATTTGGGCCCACATTTTGGTTTTAGGGGCCCAAAATTTTTTTCCGCGCAAGCGCGGAAGTATTTTTCTCAGACCAGAAGTTTGGGCCCCCCCCCTTGTTGGTTCCCAGATCCGCCCCTGGGATAACATAGAAAAACCCACTAACCTTATACACTTATCTTCAGGTATACCCCTCCACGTTGGCATAGACAAGAAATTTGTTAAACTGATTCTATCCGATGGTTATTTTGATATTGCTCATCTTCTGAGCAGACATGACAACGTAGAGGGGTCTATGAACTACATGTATACGGTCAAATCTGACGCTTCTACAACAATTCAACTCAATCCGGTAAAGCCAAAAAAAACAAATCAAATCTATGGAACAGTGGACATCAGCCTTTCATATTTACATGTCCGTGTATACACAGGCACACCCTGAGAGCTGCCCTTCACTCCTCAAATATGCCGAGGAAATAAGAGGAATGGCAGTTTCAAATGGGCTGGATGCTGCTTTGATCTATGACATGAATTTTCGGCACTTAAAAAAAGAAATGAACTTTGCTTGGAATGTCACTGTTTCGGTCATTAGGACGGGTGTTTACTAAGATATTTTCTGTATTTCTTTTGGGATAATGTATGACATGATGATGACATGCTCAGTTGACAGGAAAGGGGGCCCCAGAAGTTTAATTTCTGAAGTGCATTTGACAAAAATTCCAAACTGAAATTTGACGGATTTTAATTTGGCGGATTTTCTGACTCCGTCAATCCGTCTAATTAAAACGGGAGCCAAAGTAAGTATCTTCAGTTATATCAATATTATTTTGTATCTATCTGACATTATAATTTCGAAGAGAGATTCTCCCGGGGACATTCGGGATTTCGAACATAATAAACTTAATTTGAAATTGATTCTGAAATTCTGTCAGAATGGAATACATGGACCTGGTTACATGGTTTATCTTATTCTAAATGGACAAATAAGATCGCGGGGGAAGGAAACTCCCCCGTAGTTGACATTTTGTTCATATTGTAACAGAAATGCACTATTTCTGTTTTATATTTATATTTTAGAGAAGTCAAAAATGTTTGGACTGGGTCATAATTAAATGTTCACTATTTTAGTGGAGTCAAATACAAGTGTTGGTTTCATAAATTCTTTGAAATTCCCAGTTCATAAATCAATGCACGCAAATCTGAATTCAATGCTCTGACCATTATAGCACTTTGTCATAAAGATTCTAATGTTTGTAAAACAGAGCTGAATATTAAATTCACACGCTCAGTAGCATGTTGTTCAGATTTACTCTTTCACTTGAATTTATTAATTGCTACAAATCAAATGAGGCTGACATTTCATATTTTGTTCACTATCAATTTTATCAGTTTGGATGCCACTCTGAAATATTTAATTATAAAGCCTTTGTTTATTGGAAGACAAATATACTGCTATTGTCCAAAGGTGCACATGTACATCTGTGAGAATTCTCTCCTTGGTGAAATCATCCCACCCACAGACAAAGAATATTTTATGATGGATGTAGTTTAGTGCAACTAAATATGTATTTTTAAATGCTTGAATATGCATTGTTTATTAATCATGTAAATGTAATTAGATGTTGTAACTAACTTTGATCTGATGTGTATCGACAGTTCCTGGAGAAACATTTATTTCTGACTACAGGAATAGATTATATTCACCCCCCTCACTGCAGCAATTAAAGTGATCACTGTACACAGTCCTTTGTTTGCCAATGCAGACACGTGTTTACAGGAGAGGCAAGGGTAGTGCCCCATAAATTAAACTGTCCCCAAAAATCTCTATCCAATCAGATCAACCTATTTAAATTGAGATCCGCCCTTATTCCAAGAACTCCAAAAACTGTATATATACTGATGTATGACTTTTAAATAACAGAATAGCTTTTAGCTTTTTAGAATATCACACAAGCTTCTCGGGACAATATAATCATCATGAAGATGTGATTTTGAATAGAATAGCTTTTAGCTTAAAAGAAAATCATACAAACTTCTCAGGACAATATAATCATCATGAAGATGTGATTTTGAATAGGATAGCTATTAGCTTTTAAGAATATCACACAAGCTCTTAAGACAATGTTATAATCAGAAAGATGTGATTTTGAAGATAGTAGCTTTTAGCTTCGTTAAGAATGACGCAGATGAGTGTGCTCGAGATGAAGTAAAGATTATGCAAAATGTAGCTAGGAAAATGAAATAAACTTAGAAGTTGTGTCATCTACACAAATTTTATGTTTAGTAATACTATTATGGACTGAAGTCGTGAACATTATTTTATTAACGTTTAATTCCCGTTAAATGTTACATTGGTGCGTCCGGGCCGGAAAGAATGGAATATACTTTTCTATTCTCTTACCTGACGATTTTATGTGAGAAAGGCATCAAACAAAGGACCATTAAATATTCTGTTATGATACTTCAGACAATGATGTGTGAGTTATATGGATTCTTCAATACACTAAACAGAGAAGTCTCTATTTATGCACCTTTACAAAACCACTGACGCAAAACTTTATGAATGAATTTGACCAGTTGACCACACGGACAACAGTTCAATGACTTTTCAAATGATTACATTCACATAAACATTTAAGGTATATGGATGACCTGAACAATAACAAATGAGGACAATATTAATATTATTCTATGAATAAGAACATTTGAAAGAAACATAGACAAAATTAAATTCTTAAAATATCAAAATGGATTTGGAGCGGATTATTGAATCGAAAGACTTTGAAATAGCTAGATTAGTTCGGGAGAATGCAGAACTTGTTAATAAACTTTCAGATGCTAAAAGAAGAATTTTCAAAAATCAATCTGTTAGGCCGGTTGACCGCTATGATGGCAGTGGAGACTGGCTTGACTACAAAACTCACTTTATGGTTGTGAGCAAGGCCAATAGTTGGAGCTATGATGAAATGGCCCTGGAGCTGAGTTGTGCTGTTAAGGGTGATGCCTTATCTGTACTCACTGATATGCCTGGTAATGAACGTGAGGATTTTGAATCCATTGTACATCACTTGGAACAGCGTTTTGACCCAGCAAGCCAAGGTGACACCTTCCTTAATTTGCTAGAGGCCAGAAGGAAGAATCCTAATGAAACATTATCACAATTGGGGCAGGATATCAAAAGGTTGTCGAACAGGGCCTACTCGAAGTGGCCATATGAACTACGTATGGATATAGCGTTAAATCAATTTTATAATGCCCTTGAGGACACAGATATGAGGAAATACATCAAGAATCGGAACCCCCATGATATAGATGAAGCAGTAGGCGTTGGATTGGAATATGAGTCAGATTATGGAACCGATGATCATCAAAAAGGCCTAGAAAGCATGCAGGCGCAAGAAGATCCTATTATTGATACCCAGATGGGCCAAATAGTACATGAATTCAAAGAACTTAAAAATACATTTTGTCAGACAATGGAGCATCTTGCCTCATATACTGATGGAAGACATCTCCCAAAATCTGATCCTATTCCAACGCAGAGTAATTTAGCAGCCTTCGCATATAATTATCCCAAACCTCATAAGCATCGTATTAAATGTTTTAACTGTACCCGGTATGGGCATGTTATAGCAGAGTGTCCAAAGCCTATTATAGGGGGCTCATCACCAAGAAAATTGAATCAGAATTGGAGGTCGGGAAACGAGCAGTAGCTGAGCCTGAGGGTCGGGGGTCAGCTAATATAGAGAATGATGGACCCAAAAATATATCAAAACTTCATGTAGGATATTGTTTTGATAATCAGATAACAGTACCCTCAACTAACATTGAAGTTATAATGTATGGAGTACAGAGTATATATGGGGATACCCCTTTATTGATAACTGATTGCGTAGTAGGAAGTGTTTACATAGACTTATCAAAACGTAAGTCTGTATTGGCAAATGATGCAGCCAATATTTCGATACTTGAATCAAACCATGGATATCATTATCCACCTGCCTTTCAACCACCTTAAGGGTCGGTAAGACACTGGTGAACATTTGTCTTTAAATGCACTTGTATGTTGTATGTTGTAATGGTGGTAGATTTTTTTATGTCTAAGAACATTGTACAGTTTATGTTTTTGATCGGGACGATCAAACCAAGGGGGGAGCAGTGTAACAGAAATGCACTATTTCTGTTTTATATTTATATTTTAGGGAAGTCAAAAATGTTTGGACTGGGTCATAATTAAATGTTCACTATTTTAGTGGAGTAAAATACAAATGTTGGTTTCATAAATTCCCAGTTCATAAATCAATGCACGCAAATCTGAATTCAATGCTCTGACCATTATAGCACTTTGTCGTAAAGATTCTAATGTTTGTAAAACAGAGCTGAATATTAAATTCACACGCTCAGTAGCATGTTGTTCAGATTTACTCTTTCACTCGAATTTATTAATTGCTACAAATCAAATGAGGCTGACATTTCATATTTTGTTCACTATCAATTTTATCAGTTTGGATGCCACTCTGAAATATTTAATTATAAAGCCTTTGTTTATTGGAAGACAAATATACTGCTATTGTCCAAAGGTGCACATGTACATCTGTGAGAATTCTCTCCTTGGTGAAATCATCCCACCCACAGACAAAGAATATTTTATGATGGATGTAGTTTAGTGCAACTAAATATGTATTTTTAAATGCTTGAATATGCATTGTTTATTAATCATGTAAATGTAATTAGATGTTGTAACTAACTTTGATCTGATGTGTATCGACAGTTCCTGGAGAAACATTTATTTCTGACTACAGGAATAGATTATATTCACCCCCCTCACTGCAGCAATTAAAGTGATCACTGTACACATTCCTTTGTTTGCCAATGCAGACACGTGTTTACAGGAGAGGCAAGGGTAGTGCCCCATAAATTAAACTGTCCCCAAAAATCTCTATCCAATCAGATCAACCTATTTAAATTGAGATCCGCCCTTATTCCAAGAACTCCAAAAACTGTATATATACTGATGTATGACTTTTAAATAACAGAATAGCTTTTAGCTTTTTAGAATATCACACAAGCTTCTCGGGACAATATAATCATCATGAAGATGTGATTTTGAATAGAATAGCTTTTAGCTTAAAAGAAAATCATACAAACTTCTCAGGACAATATAATCATCATGAAGATGTGATTTTGAATAGGATAGCTATTAGCTTTTAAGAATATCACACAAGCTCTTAAGACAATGTTATAATCAGAAAGATGTGATTTTGAAGATAGTAGCTTTTAGCTTCGTTAAGAATGACGCAGATGAGTGTGCTCGAGATGAAGTAAAGATTATGCAAAATGTAGCTAGGAAAATGAAATAAACTTAGAAGTTGTGTCATCTACACAAATTTTATGTTTAGTAATACTATTATGGACTGAAGTCGTGAACATTATTTTATTAAC